GTGGGGAGGTGAGGGGCGAGGGGTCAGAAACTCCGCGGACAAAATCCCATGGCTGGGTGCTCCAGGGGCCGAGAGAAGGGCGGCGGCGTCGCGGTGTGGGGGGGGGGGGATTTGGGTCTCTCTCTGTCCCACGCAAGTGGGGACCGCGAGCAAGAGCGTGGAAGTTCATAGCGGGAGGGAAGGGTGGGGCGGGGGGAGATAATTATCATGCAGGGGCAAAGGGGAGGGGGCAAGGGGGGGGATCTTTTGCCCATTAAAAAAAAATACAAATACAGCAACACCCCAGTTAACGTCGGGGATGCGTTCCTGAAAGGTGCGACGACGAATATCGAAACGACGTCAATCAAAAAGTGGGGGTAGGGGCCGAGAGGCGCCGCGGTGGCTAGGAGATGTTGACGACCTCGCTTGGTACGCAGGAGGTCGTGGGTTCGATCCCGACCCTGACGCCTGCTGCTGCTGCTGTGTATTTGGAGTATGCGGTGTCTCTCACCCCGTGGTCGCGTGGATTTTTCTCCGGGTAGTCTGGTTTTCCCCTCCACATTTAGAATCATACATTTAGAGAATTTGCATGCTATAAATGTCCACATGATAGCGATGATCCGCTTCGTTGAGCTACCATTGGTGGCCAGGTCGCATTCTGAAAAAGAGCAGTGCAGCTCAGTGGGCCTTGCCTGGTAAATAAAATAAGTTTACTCATTGGTTATTTCGGTAAAGTCACGTATGTAGAAATACCATCAAATTATATTAAAATAAATAAATCACGACGTTTCGACCGCAACACAAGCGATCTTCATCAGGTGTAAAAAAACAAATCACGCAGGTGAATACAACAAGAAGATGAGACACGAGAATTCACCTACGTGATTTGTTTTTTACACCTGATGAAGATCGCTTGTGTTGCGGTCGAAACGTCGTGATTGATTTATTTTAATATAATTTGATGGTATTTCTACATACTTGACTTTACCGAAAAAAAAACAATGAGTAAGTTATGCAGTCACGAAAGCTTTAATTCTTTATTAAAATAAGCTTAGTTTATATGAGAAAAAGAAGCGTGGGCTTTGAGGTGTAGCGGCGTTCATAGAGCGACGACGTTTTTGTGAAACGACGTTAAAGGGGGAGAGTCTTGAGCCTTGGTGAGTCTCAAGACTCTCTCATCAGGAGGGTCCTGCTACATGGCGACGTTTGCCCAACTCCTCTTTGATCGAGCAGTGAACGTAGCCAACCGCGTTAGTCGGAGGGGGGGGGGGGTGGAGACAGCAAAGTGCACACACAGCAGTTAGTCAACAGAAGCGTTTCTCTATTATACACCTCGAGACAGCGGTGGAAACTCCACGTGCATATGACGAGGACAGTAATTTCTTCCACCACGGAGCAAAGCCCGGCTCAGTTGAACGACCCCCCCCCTACCACCACCCCCCACCATCCACCCCAAGCGTCCCCTCCACCACCCACCCAATTCCTTCAACACCCCCCCCCACCACCCCCCCTGCCACCCCCCCTGCCAGCTCCCCCAACCACCCCCCCCCATCCCCCCCCACCACCCCCTCTGCCACCTCCCCCCCGGGGGGCGGTGAATTTTCATCCGAGGGCATCGCAATCACGTGGGTGGCAGTTCATGATATGTAAAGTAAAAGCGACAAGAACGCTTGGGACGAGTGAGGCGCCCGCGTTATCGCAGTGGCGATGCAGTGGAGGCCGGTGTGGACGGCATGGTGGGGCTGGCTGGGTCATTGGGGTTGCGTTTGCTTTTCACGATCGAGAAAGGGTAGAGCAGAGGTTGTGGTCGCACGTGAGCCCGTGCTGGTGAGGTCACGCGCAGGCGAGACCCCCCCCCCTCCCCCCACTGATTTTAAAGTATTAGAATGAGATGAATTTGACGCGGTATTATTATAATACATTTTATAAACAGAGACTAAACTAAGCTATTTTATTTGATCAGATATGGCCTACTGACATATGTAGCTCTTTATCAGAAGCGACCTGGCCACAAATTATAGCTGAAGGAAATAGCTTATCACGTGTAAGAAGTTAATCGGAGCCAATTACCCGAAGCGGACGTTGCGATTCTAAATGCGACCACGGGTGGACAGAAACACCGCAGACTCCAAATACACAGCCGCAGCAGGCGTCAGGGTCGGGATCGAACCCACAACCTTCTGCATACCAGGCGAGGTAGTTAACATCTCCCCATCGCACCCGGGCACCTCCGTTCATCATGAGAATTCGTGCGAGGGCTAACCCCAGCGTCTCCGATTAGCACGGTTGGCTACGTACAGTGCGAAAGAAGTTCAACATACATACGTGGGTGAGAGAGAAACCGGCCCGAGCAGACCCGGTGGGCGAGAAGGCAACTTCACTGCCGTGCCAGATTCTGCGTCCCACCCACCCAGCCACCCCGCCAATGTCTCCGTGCGGGTCCGGGTCCCCTCTTCCCGACCGCGCGGTGGAATTCTACCGCCCCGAAACCCGAGCGCGACCCCGCACCAACGCGGCTTGGCGCGTGGCCGCGCCGCACGGAATCCACGAGGCCCCCCCCCCCCCCACACCACAAGCCACAATCCACACCGCACCCCCTTCCCCCCACAATCCCCGCCACACGTCACGCCCGCAGGTCGGCTGGTACTGAAAATCGAGGCGTGCATCGCGACTTTATTAGTGTTATACCCCCCCCCCCCCTACGCCCAAAACTTGTGCTCAATAGTGGCAGCAGTCGCGGAGTTGTGGGACCGGAGCGTGAGATGGGATCGCACGCACGCACGCGCAGCGGCGGCGTCTGCGGTGTCGAGGTTATTGAGGGGTGAAGGCGCGGCCCTGACATTTCTTGCCCTGTGCCACGGCTGCTGAAGCCTCTGAGGCCGCCGGTCCACGGGCCCAGATCCAAGACGTCTTCGCCTTGTCACAGAGGGGTGGCGTCACTTTGGCGGTTTCCAGTTCCTTTTGATGCGGTCAGCTGCGGCGAATTACATAACCGTTTCAAACTCGTTTGGGGCTATTGTATCATCGTTAGCCACGTAAAGACATCGCGACAACTGAAGTGCTGCTTGCAGCCGTAGGCCCGTGGACTACAAAGGAAACCGGAGAACTCAGAGAAACCCCCACCGCAGTGCACTATGCATGGGGGTGACACTCAAAGATCCGTACACCATGTTGTTTGTATGATGAAACGTGTTACCAAAGACATCGTCTTGAATAAATGTATTTCTATAGCGAGGATAGGCACAGTGTATATGCAAAGAGGCAGATGCGTGCCAATGTCAATCGTTTTTTTTTTTTCCATAAGGTGAGAAAATGTAACAACAGAGATTAACTTTTCGAGATTCTTTCATTGCAAAATTACCAATAACATCTTCAAATGGTGTTTTTCGCACAATCTCATTCTCAGTAGAGAGCGGTGCAAGGGAAGACGAGCGGCGTTGTTGTGCTTCGCGTGAACCAAGCGAGTGACATCGGCGATAGTCGCAGCTGTAGAAAGTGAGCACTGAAGGCCTACGAAAGAGACGTGCCCAGGGCCTACAAGAACCTGAATCCGGCTCTGCCTGTACCATCATGTTCTGGCTACCGCGTACCCCAAGTCTCTAGCGCGTGGTAATCGCCCATTCAAGTCCTGTACACCGACCAGGCTGAAGTCTGCTCTGATGACATCGGGCACATTCAGGGCGACGTGGTCATGGGTTGGCATCGGCTCCGTAATTAATTATAGGGCGCCACGCTGGCGGGATGTTAACTCCCTCGCCTGATATTCAGCAAGTCGTGGGTTCGATGCTGACCATGTCGCCTGTTTATTTGGAGTTTCCGCGTCTCTCTCCCGGTGGTCGCGTGGATTTTTCTCCGGGTCGTCCGGGTTTTCCCTCCACATTTAGAAACAACAACAACACGCGTTTAGAGTAGTTGGCTGCTGCTTTACATTTCCACGCGACGATGATGACGACGACGACGATGATGACGATGACGATGAGCCCACGTCGTCTGGCTGTCATTTGTGATGGCCAGGTCGCTTCTTAAAGAAAACGAGCTACACCATCCGTACAACAAAACGTGTTTTCGTGATGCCACTCTTCACTCCGTGCTGAGCTTGCATCTCCCACCTTGAACACAGCCGAGTGCTACCGCCAGCAACCACACTCACCGCGCCTCTCATCGCTCGGATTAACCAAGTCCACCCCACCCCTCTCCCCAACCGCGTCGCGGGCTCCGACGTCTCGCGAGTGTCTTGTCGTGGTCGCCGGAGTGTTTACGCCGCACGGGCGAGATTATTATCGCAACGATATCAACGCACGCTGCCTCGGGGGGGGGGGGGGGGGGGCGGGGTGGGGGGTGGCCCCCCCCCATGACGGAGAGGAACCGCGCCCCCGGGGGAGTCGGGGGGCACGCGCGCGTCCACCCACGACAAAATCACCACGCGGCGGGAGAGGTGGACGCTGAACACGCGGCGAGTCGTCCACCGGGGGGTTTGTTCCCGTGGATCGCTGGGGTCGCACGCCTCGGTGGCGGCCTGACGGGGCCATCGTCCAGCAGCGGACTGCCCATGGCTGATGGTTGTGGCGGTGGTGGTGATGATATGACGATGATGACGATGATGATGGTGGTGATGACGGTGATGGTGACGGTGATGATGGTGATGATGATGGTGATGATGACGGTGATGATGACGATGATGACGGTGATGATGACGATGATGATGACGTCTGTCGGTGAAGTTTGACACAGCCAGGAGGTTGCCATAGTCCGGGCTGCCCAAACGTTTCCACAACCCCTGAGAGTTTGAAGTCGCTGTCGCCACGCTCCACAGGCCCCCCCGTGTCTCTTCCACGACTCTCTCCCCACCCACACAAACCCACGCCGCCGACTCTCCCATTCATCTCTCCCAATACGCCTCTCCCTCACCCCCTCTCCTCCACGTGTCTCTCACTCTCTCTCTCACACCCCGACGTCTCTCTCAATCTCTGTCCCCTCTCAACCCCCACTGGGTGTCTCCCCCTGCTCCCTGCCCTGTACAGAAGGCGACGAGCGCGGGCGCTGTGAGCCGCCTCACGGACGCGAGCCGCTTCACGGGGAGCCACCGCGAGAGGTTTGACGAGGCCGGGCGAGGCCGTGGCCGTGCGGGCCGCGAGGAGGAGGTGGATGCCAGCGGCTACGTCGCCTCGTACAAGGGCGCCGGCAGCTACCACGACAAAGTTAAGGGGGGGAAGTGACCCCCCCCCCCCCGCCCTCCGCACTCGAGCCCCCTCCCCCCACCCTCGCCACCCCACCCCCGCTTTTGCCCCCCCCCCCCCCCACCAGAGCTCCGTAGCCCCCCCCCCAACACCGCCCCTAGGGCCCCCTAGAACTATTCACAGGTGGCGCCAACATTTTGCAATGGTGGTGGTGGTGGGGGGGGGGGGTGAGCCCCTTCACAGTTCCCGAAGCCCCCCCCCCACCCCCCCCAGAGCCATCCATAGTTGGTGCCATTATTTTATAATAAAGTGGGAAGGGTCCGAGTGGCTGAGGGGACGAGGAGCTGAAGGGATGAGGCTCTGAGGGGATGAGGGGATGAGGGGGTGAGGGGGTGAGGGGATGAGGCTCTGAGGGGATGAGGGGCCGAGGGGATGAGGCTCTGAGGAGATGAGGCTCTGAGGGGATGAGGGGGTGAGGGGGTGAGGGGATGAGGCTCTAGGGGGATGAGGCTCTGAGGGGATGAGGCTCTGAGGGAATGAGGCTCTAGGGGGATGAGGGGATGAGGGGATGAGGCTCTAGGGGAAGAGGCTCTGAGGGGATGAGGCTCTAGGGGGATGAGGGGATGAGGCTCTGGGGGGAAGAGGCTCTGAGGGGATGAGGGGGTGAGGGGGTGAGGGGATGAGGCTCTAGGGGGATGAGGCTCTGAGGGGATGAGGCTCTGAGGGAATGAGGCTCTAGGGGGATGAGGGGATGAGGGGATGAGGCTCTGAGGGGAAGAGGCTCTGAGGGGATGAGGCTCTGGGGGGAAGAGGCTCTGAGGGGATGAGGCTCTAGGGGGATGAGGCTCTAGGGGGATGAGGGGATGAGGGGATGAGGCTCTAGGGGGGTGAGGGGATGAGGCGCTATAGCCCAGGGGCAGGAAGCACTTCGGCTTAGATTCCCCATGCCAGGTGTGAGTTATTTATTGTAGCACCCCCATCCATCCACGGCGTCTATCCACTATTATATTTACATAACAGCTGTTAATGTGTTACAGGATTGGCCTTCACTTTGAGGTGAATGTGTTAATTATAACAGCGCATACTTAAGTGAAGTTCATTGGCTCCTACTGTATTCCCCTGTTCACGGACTCTATAGTGGTGGGGTATAGTCTGAGGGGGGGGTGGTGAAAGAGCCCCCCCTCACTCTGCCCTCACAGCCGCCTTTGTCTCTCCACACGTTATCCTGGTGGTTGGGGGCTCTGTCGGGTGGTGGTGGGGGGGGTACCCCTGCTACCCCCATTACCTTCGTCCTCACAGCTACTGCAGTCATCTCAGTTAACCCATTCACTCCCGTTTTCCAGGTTACCCCAGTTACCTCAAACACCTGGCTTGGCCCAGTCCCCCGCTAGACCCCAGCGACCCTTTTACCCAGGTTAACACACTCATCTCAGTTATGCTAGTTACCTCAATTGCCGCGTTCACTTCTGTTAACCCTGCAGACTCCACTCATCTCACTCACCCCAGCTCTCAGTTACCCCTGCCACTTCGATTACCCCCCTTTAATATCAGTTACTTCACTCACTCTGGACAATTCTGTCCCCACAGTTGTCTCAGTTACCTCAGTTATCCAATTTATCAGTAACCCTGGTAAATTCCACTCCAGTTACCAGTTACCCTGGTCATATCACTCACTCTATGCCTTATAGTTGCCAGTTACCCTGGGATCATCTCAATTACCGAATTAGCTCCGGTTAACCCTGACGTCATCTCAATTACCCCAGTTACCCCTGGCTTTTTTCCGGTCCAGTTACCAGTTACTTGGTCATCTCAATAATCCCATTCCTTCCAGTTACCATGAGGTCATCTCAGTTACCCCAGTTTCTCCAGTCCAATTAAAAGTTACCTTGGTCATCTCGAGCACTCCATTCCCTTCAGTTACACGTTACCCGGGGGTCATCTCAATTACCCCAGTCACCCCAATTTCTTCAGTATAGTTACCAGCTACCTTGATCATCTCAATGATCCCATTTCCTCCAGTTACCACGGGGTCATCTCAGTTACCTCAGATTCACTCCACTTAACCCTGAGGTCATCTAAAAATACCCCAGTAACCTCCTTAAACCCCCAGCGCTCACACCGCGCGGTGTGCGATTTGCACTGTACATATAAACTGCGGAACGGTTTAGAATCCTGTGTTACGTGTCCGTGCGTATTCATGGCACGGTAATCGCGTAATTACGACTCGCAATTGCAGCTAAAGCATGCGCCATTAGCTTTAGACGCTCTACAGCAGGGGTGGGGAACCTTTTTTCTGCCAAGGGCCATTTGGATATTTGTAACATCATTCGCGGGCCATACAAAATTATCAACTTAAAAATTAGCCCGTTATATTTGGTCAAACATTTAACTAACTCGCCCTTAATGCGATGGCTGGAACTGCTTCTCTCTGGTGAGGCGTGGTGATGATGTTAGCTGGTATTGACGATGTTGTTGCTACTCGCAACTGCTTTTCCAGGTTTGCTCCTAGATTTATTGAATTTCGAGTCCCGCCTGCGGTTGCCTTGGCAGGGCCACACCAAATGATTTCGCGGGCCTTACACGGCCCGCGGGCCGGACATTCCCCACCCCTGGTCTACAGGGTGGCCCGTGCAGAGAGACAGAGACATACAGAGAGTCACTTAGCACGAAATGTGAATGTTCCCTTAGAGATAATTCTGGGATTGTTTGAATTGGGAATTCAGTGGACGAGGCGGAATCGAGAGGAGGAAGATCTGATGTGACGTGGCCTGCCCCGAAGCCCAGACCTGACCAACAGCATACCAGACGTGATGATTATTCAGGAAAAATCCTTCACACGTCCTCAAGATTGACAAATGTTGAGTAGCTAAAAAAAATTAACAGGCGTGGCGGCCACTGCTTGTTAGCAGTAACGCAGCCACCACCACAACCATCGTCACCGTCGCCAACTCGGAATGAATCTGCCGGGGAGATAACGTGGGGGGTAAGTGTGTCTGTCATCCCTTTATCACTGCTGCCTAGCTTATTACAGACCAATTCAGACCTCATTGGTCACTCCGTGCATCATACAGTCCCATCACAAGGGAGAAACACAAACAAATAGACGCACTTTTTATTGCCCGTACTGAAACGGCTGTACGCCGCATGGACCTGAGAACTAAATGTGCCTGTACGAGGCTACGGGGTAAACCGTGTGGGGTTACAGCTATGGCCGTAAGGGTTACGGATCTATTCCGTGGGCTGAGAGTAGTGGGGGGGGGGGCGACAACGGAAGCTGCCGCTGCTGCACCACAGCAGTGGGAGGCTGTGTGGGCTTGGCCACCAACAGCAGTGGGGGGCTCTGTGGGCTTGGCCACCAACAGCAGTGGGGGGCTCTGTAGGCTTGGTCACCAACAGCAGTGGGGGGCTCTGTGGGCTTGGTCACCAACAGCAGTGGGGGGGTTGTGTGGGCTTGGTCACCAACAGCAGTGGGGGGCTCTGTGGGCTTGGCCACCAACAGCAGTGGGGGGCTGTCTGTGTGGGCTTGGCCACCAACAGCAGTGGGGGGCTGTGTGGGCTTGGACACCAACAGCAGTGGGGGGCTCTGTGGGCTTGGTCACCAACAGCAGTGGGGGGCTGTGTGGGCTTGGCCACCAACAGCAGTGGGGGGCTGTGTGGGCTTGGTCACCAACAGCAGTGGGGGGGTTGTGTGGGCTTGGACACCAACAGCAGTGGGGGGCTGTGTGGGCTTGGTCACCAACAGCAGTGGGGGGCTGTGTGGGCTTGGTCACCAACAGCAGTGGGGGGCTGTCTGTGTGGGCTTTGTCACCAACAGCAGTGGGGGGCTGTCTGTGTGGGCTTGGCCACCAACAGCAGTGGGGGGCTGTGTGGGCTTGGTCACCAACAGCAGTGGGGGGCTGTGTGGGCTTGGTCACCAACAGCAGTGGGGGGCTGTCTGTGTGGGCTTGGCCACCAACAGCAGTGGGGGGCTCTGTGGGCTTGGCCACCAACAGCAGTGGGGGGCTCTGTGGGCTTGGTCACCAACAGCAGTGGGGGGCTGTGTGGGCTTGATCACCAACAGCAGTGGGGGGCTCTGTGGGCTTGGCCACCAACAGCAGTGGGGGGCTCTGTGGGCTTGGTCACCAACAGCAGTGGGGGGCTGTGTGGGCTTGGACACTCTGTAGACCGCACGGTGCAGGGGGAAGGCTGGCAAGGCTTTGCTATTGTTAAGGAACTCGCAACAGAATGACGCAAACTGCTACCTATGTACTCTATTTAAGTGTATACTGTATGTACGTGTGTACTGTAACGATACTGTACCCATATTAAGCCCTCTCCCTCCCCCCCCCCCCGTGAGTCCAATGTCCGAATATTTAAGACTTTCCTGAAGAAGGCCGTTCGTCCGAAACGTCGAGATATTCCTACTGTTAGACTAATGTCTCGCGTCCACCCGTGCACAGGGACAGCTGCCGTGGCTGAGGCGGTGAGGCGCTTGGGACCTGCCCCGGCGTTTAAGAGCCATTATACTTGCACATACTTGCCGCGTATATTTAGTTGTTTTTTTATATATATATCTCAGTGGGGGGCACACTGTTGTTGTGTTTAATTTGCCTGTTATTCTATAAACTGTATCTTGCCCGCGTGTAACAATTCACTGGTCCGTGAACGATTCGATTAAATGTTTGCGTCGTTTTTCTTCTTCCCGCGCTACCAACCGTCTCGTTTGTCCGTTATTGTTCCCCTCGTTAGCATACACATTGTAACCTTAACATCTAATTTCCTTACGTTATACATAGTTGACTGAATGTTTCTCAAGCGCATACTTGGATGTACTTTATGTAACGTGAGCGTGAGAATTGATGTTTAATCCACGCTTTGTTGCGCGCCTCGTTCTGCCCTCAATAAAAAAAGAGCGGGAAATGCGCGAGCGCGAGTGAGTGATCGGGGGTCTGGTGAGTGGTGAGGTGAGTGGTGAGGTGAGTGATGAGGTGAGTGGTAAGGTGTGGTGAGTGGTGAGGTGAGTGGTGAGGTGAGTGGTAAGGTGAGGTGAGTGGTAAGATGAGTGGTGAGGTGTGGTGAGTGGTGAGGTGAGTGGTGAGGTGTGTGGT